ATATATATATATATATATATATATANATATATATATATATATATATATATATATATATATATATGAAGACAGAGCACAATTGAACACGCAAATAAGGAAACAAATAATGAATAAGGAAAGAAACAAATCAATGAAATGCTTTTTTTTTTTCAAAATGTTTTTTTTTTCAAAGTTTTTTCGAAATGTTTCAGCATAGAAACTAACCGAACCATCTTTGGTGGCATAACCGTAACCATTATCTATTATTTTTTCTACATATGCAATAATTTCAGGGACATATTCCGAAACTCGAGTTAAAACAGTTGGTGGTAGCACATTTAAGCAAGCCATATCGTATAGAAACTCGTTTTCATATCTAAATTGGATCAACTGTTTATTTTTCCTTTTTTGTTTAGAAATGTTTCTTTGGCTCAAAAATAAAAAATAAAAAAAAGACTAAAAGGTGCTAACTTCTTAGCAAGACGATCAAAGACAGCCAAATCGCTCACTGTATGTCGATAAAGCGAATCCAACCAGTCCGAGAGTACATCCTTTGCAGCATCCAATAGTTCATTCTTTGACTTCTCTGACTCTTGGTGTTCTGATTGTAGCAACGAACACTCTAGCTTTTTCACAGCAACATTCACATTTGCACACTGCAAATTTACACCCATTCTTAAACACTGCCTTACTGAGATATTTTTGAAGATGATGGATCAAATGATGGATAGGACTTTAAACTACATGGCTGATTAGGCGGTTTCAATCCGCTTTTCCTGTGATGTTACGTGAGAGATTTGATTTTTGATTTTTACTCAATATAATCGAGTAATCAATCCAAGAATTTCATCGTAATCTGCAGTTTACCATATCAGCCAACATGGTCTTTTTATCTGGATCAGTTTCATCAATACATTTGCTCTTGAATTTATCCAGTGCTAACAGAGTGTCCTCGATAACCTTGGTCATCGAAAGTTCACCAAATTTCCCAGCAATGTAATTTTCTAACAGATAAAGTTGACGAGCCCTGAAATCGGAGTTCCCTTAACCATTCCCATGAACTTAATATATGGAATTCACTGGATCAGGGAAAATAATATTTTCGAATAAATTTACCTCTTAATAATTTTGTCATCAATATCTGTTATATTCATTATATACTGTATATCATAACCAAAGTAATCTTGCAAAACACGTCGCAGAATATCGAAAGAAAGATAAGCTCGTGCATGACCAATATGTGAAGAATCGTAGACCGTAGGTCCACAAATATACCATTTGATCTTAATTTTTTTTCAACACTTTGATAAAGTTCAAGAAAAAGAAGATAGAAACAAAAAAGAATTCAAACAAATCGTAAATATTACCTGCTTTGGTTTCAGTGGGACAAAAAGTTCTTTTTTCCGTGTGAAGCTATTGTATAAATAAAGATGCGGTGGTTGCTCTGCTACCGGCAATTTCCATGTCTTTTGTGGACATCTTCCTGTAAACATTGTCAACTAATTTTTCCAAGTTATACGCATAAATTTATGTCAACAATTTGAATTGCTAATCAATCAGGGCGGAAGTTCCCTTTCTCCTCTTCTCTTCCCTCAAAAAAACAGTAAATATGAAGTCGTAATATGGAAAAATAAATTAATTAATAATAATTCACTCTTCCACACTCTTATTTCCAAAGTTCCCTCATTAAACTACTTAGCATTCCGAATTCATTTCAATACCAGATAACTGCGTAATCATACAATTTGTTTGAACAAAAACAGCGTATTATGTTTTGCTCGTAAAAAAAAGAAAAAAAATATATCATGAGAAATAAAAAAAGAAAACACGGACCAAATCTGTTCCCAGTTCTATTAATGTACGAAAGCAAACAAACCTCCATCAGCCACAGAGCCAACTGCTTCGGCTCCATTGACCATAGCGATGTTTCTGTTGCTTAATTTCAGACAGCCTAAAATTATGCAACCATAATTTCACAATTCAATAATGTTTAATTAGCGAATGGATTAGGTAGATAATTAAGCATCTCACCAGTAGTCCTTATTTGCTTAATATCTCACCCGTCGAAATACATTCGAATCGGAGGACAACAATATCTTACCACAAAACTGATTATAACGAAGCAACAGGTTAACTTACAGCTATTTGTGACAGCGACTTTTGTTGTCAGCTGTCCAAACAGCAGCTGGATTCGACCGGCTGGAAATAACAGGACGCTGATGTAACGGAATGTATTTGTTTCAACCGATTCCGTAAGATAATCACACCGAATTAATATCCTGAATTACTATTGAAGAAAAATACAAACACACATAAAATCAATATTATGGAATCGATATTAATTGCAAAAATAATCATGACTATGATGAGTAATTTATTCCCACACCAAGTTTACTCCCGCGATATCTTCCAACCATCCAAATCATTTCGAACGGTCAATCGATAATATCCCTCTCATGTTTAAGCCAGGTGAAACTCCCAACCATATCTACTGCCGAATCTTTGTTTATCCCGTGGTAATAACGCGACTCGTCCTTAACACATCATTCTTTCTCAAACCGGTTTTCCGGATTTTTCTTTCCGGTAATACAAATTTTGGATGGAATTCCGAAGAACCTCGATAATTTCATTGAATTTAAAGAATTTTTTTAAAGCAAAAGATTTTTACACAAAAATTTCATGAAATTTTACTTTCAGAATTAATGACAAAACACTGTATTCCTTCACTTCGTTTTTCTCTCCCCCATTTTTATGCTCTTTTCATATTCCTCTAACTGTATGCTGGTCATTTATGTGGTTTAGATACGCAAATTTGTACGGACATTTCAAATATTTGAGTTCTACAAATTTGAATATAATGCAATTCATCCAAACCATACTTTAAAGACAGAAATTTTAAACAATCAATTATTGTTGATTAATTTTGACGCCGCAACTAATTAACTAACCACACAGCAATTGTATTGTTTTTTTTTTTGCTCAGGAAAAATTTTCCGGAGTAATAAAATCCGGCAATTTGAAATGCTTAGTGGAATAGATGACAATAGTAGCATCGAAAATAAATTAGCGGGTAATACGCCGGATTTTGAAGTTCAATTGATTCCTTCATGGATCGTTTTTACAGCAGTTGATAATTATCGAATCTCCCAATATGCCACTTTTAAAGTAACTGTTTCTGAAATTTTAATTTGAAAATTTTTCAATTTAAAAGTATAATTTAAAAAGCTATATTTATTGTTGAATTTTTGTAATTTATAATTCCGTTCCCCAAAAAAAAGTGAAAAAATATTACAGTGCTTGTAACATCTTAAATATTTTTTTTTCTCCTTTTAGTTTAGAGTTTTTTTTTCTTTCGTTTAAACTTAATGTTTAATTTAAAAGTCTCAAAATTATGATGATCTATTTGGAATTGAATAATTTTTTTCTTTATATTTCATGATTTTTAATTTTAATAAAATTTCTCAAAAATCTTTTTATAGATTAAAAAATTAAAAAAGAAGATTAAAGATTAAAAAAAAGAAATTCAAAGAGATTAAAGATTAAAAATAATGATTTTTTTCTTTTTTTTTTTTTATAGATTAAAAATAATGATCCGGTACCCATTGTATATCGTATACGAACAAGAGAACGCTCATTTCCACGTTTTTCCATATGTCATGGATATTTGGAACCAAATGAGGAAGATCAAGTGTACATATTAATACCAACATCAGATTGTTGGCCTCGTGATCCGATTGATTATGCTGGTCGTCGTCATAAAGTGGTGGTCGAAAATTTGACCTTTCCTAAGGATGCATGCAAACCGAAGAATAAAAATGAAGCTAGTGCAATTTCAAGTAAGTAAGATTGAAATTAATATTGGAAAAGATTTATAATTAGCAAGAATATAAAATATTTGCTACAATGAATTATCTTAAATCGAATCATTTTTATTCAACTGTATGTCTCAAAAATTAATTAATTGAACGAATTTTACCTTTTTAATGTTTTCTTTGATCTTTTGCAATAATATTAAATTAAAAATTTTTTCAATTAGCTACTGCAATTTATTAATCCCAAATTATAGTGATGATATTTAAAGCGACACCACCAATGACACGAATGTATGCCAAACTGAATATACTATTGCCGAAAGTAGTAGAAGATAAAACTCAAGAAATAGGCCATGAAATATAAATTGTATCAGTGTATAAGAATTGCATATAATGCAATTTGAAAATGAATAAAACAAATGGCAGCTAACTGAGTATATTCGATAATTTTGATGAAAAAAAGAAATACAATTAATTTGTTTTCGATGTATAATTTTAATATTAAAATTTTTCATTATTACTTAAATTTCTTAATTAACACTTTTCTTTTCCAAGTAGTCTTTTCAAATTTAACACTTTTTGTTCGATACTACTGTATTGTTGATAATTTTGATCAAACTAATCATAAGAATTGTTTTCTTTTTTCAAATTTAATACTCGATATGTGGTATTGATAATTTTGATTAACATTTTTTTTTTCTCAAAATAATTTCTTTCCTTATATTGTCATTATCAGAAGAGACAATTTTTCATTTTCTTTTATTTACATTATTCCATTTATTATTATGAACAATTAATAGTAACAAAAAAAAAGAAAAAAGAAAAATTGAAATTTCTCCGCTCAATTCATTATTAGTGCTTCTTTCAATTCCTTTTATGCTTTCTTCATTTTTTCATACCATTGAAATGATTAATTTCTAAAATATAGATTGAATTTTTTCCTTTTGTCCTAAAAAAGGAAGAGTAAAAAACCACATTGTTATTGATTGATTAATAATATTGTTGCTCATTTTGTGATAAGACAACAATGTTATCACTGTTGATCACTTCCATAAAAATTGAATGGTAAAATGACTCGTTTCATTCCCTCATTTTTTATTTTTTTACTTTTTTGATATGAAATGTAACATTGTTTTCGTTGAAATGCATTACTGTATGAATGTGATGATTAACATTAATAGTAAATGAATGCAATAATTAGCATCAGTGTATTGTTTAAAAGAGAAAAGAGATAGTGTCAAAAAAATTTTAGAAGTTTTAAAGATCATCTTGATATGGACGACCCTTAACATTTCGAATATTTGAAATAATCATGCGAAAAGCATTATTGTTTGATTCATATACTTTTCCTGTAATAAAGATTACTGTTGGGTAGTTAAAAATTTCGATTTTAAAATTCTCAAAAAATAGTTCCATAAAATGGCAAAATTCATCAATTTTTATGATAACATAAAAAATAAAGAAAAATGAAAATATGAATACTTTTGGTTGAAATGATAATATAAAAAACATTGGAATATTTTTGCATACTAAAAGCAAAGCTGTTTTATTGATTAAATAATATGTCAAAATTGAGCAATAGCAATAGATTAAATTATGTAATAAAAAAGTATTCGCATGTACATACGTATGCAATCCTCGATCAATTTACACTGATTAGAAAAAAAAGAAAAAAAAAAAAGAAACTAAATCCTAGTTTAATATATATTAAGCTAAGTTTCAATCTTCATATATGGTTCAATCAACTTCTTATAATCTTTTCAGATTTAACTTTCAAGTTCAGTATGACTATTTTCTCTAAATTAATTGACAAATTCCTTGAGTAAAAAAAAAATATCACATATTTATTATCACTATGTCTATACTGAATGAGTCAACGATATGTATGAGAGGATTAGAAGACGAAAGGTTATGATAATGATTTTTCACTCGACTCCATATCTGTAAGTTTATTAATTAATAAGAAAAGTTAGAAGACTTCTACTAGGCTATTAGATAAAGAATTCC